AACAGCACTGTAGAAGATTAAAATTCAATTAGAATCTTTTCAAAGTTGCTTTCAAAAACCTAATCTTATTTTAAAGAAGAATTATTTATTTTAAATAACTTTATTTTTAATCTAAGAGAAAGAATGTATCATACCAATTTTTTAAATTTGATAGAAAGTAAGTAAACTTGATAGAAAGAGGATCAAGAGAAATTGGAAGTTTTTTTAAAACATTATTATTTTCTACACAGTAGATCCACATCTCCAAACATAATCATCTATACATTATATCTTGTACACATACACACGTATTCTTTCGTCATGACATTCAAAAGTGCTATTTGCAATATTTTGCAAATTTATCACGCATTAGGCTTTCATCATGGCGGATGCGTAGCAACGCAACTAACTTTTAATTAAATTATCACAATTAAAAATGATAGAAATTTAATTATTTTATTAATAATTGATAATTGTTAAATAATTAAATAGTTAATATAATAATTATACATTAATAAAATGTAAATCATAAATATTTTAAAAGCAGTATAAAATTGTAAAATAAATTTATTATAATATGATAATAATAAATTTTATATATGATAATTAAACCATAAATTTTTTGTTAAACTATTAGTTATCAGTTATAATTTTAAAAAATAGATTTGAATATTCGAAATAATTTTACTTTCAATCTATTAAATCATTAGTAATATATATATATATATATATATATATATATATATAATAATTAATATTTAAATAAAAATATATGTTATTAATGACAAAAACATTATTTTAGTAATTCAATAAATAATTATTAACATTACCTGAGATAAGAAATATACATAACAAATTAATACATCGAAATATATAGGCTGTTCAATATTTAATGATACATCGCTCATGTACTGATAGAGCGGATCTAACGGACGATGAGCAGAAGAAAAGTTCTCTATCACTTTATGATTTTTATATAGTTAGCAATAGTTAACGAGAATTAATAACTGAATATTACTGAATGAGCGAGTAAATGATTCTCTATCATATACATTTGTAAATCATACTTCGTTGCATTTCTAACATGTTTAATCGACCGCGTGTAAAACTGAACGATCATATCTCGCCACGCGCTTGCGATTATTTGCCAGTGAACTGGGCGCTTCGATATATTCAACTTTTATTTAATTAATTTTTCGTTAACTTATTGCAAAAAATAGCAAAATGTTAAAGGATTTTTACTCACAATTAATTTAATCCACGTTACCTACGAGCGATATACCATAAATTATTAAACATCCTGTATATGCATGTATGTCGCGTCACTGAAAAAAATAAATATATACATGTTTTATCTAATTAATTTCTCTAATATTAAACATTATTCGCCGCAAAATTAGTCGCATTTGGCATTCCTGCGCAAATTAGCCTCTTCGTTATGTTCCACAATTCCATGAAACCACACTGCAGTAAATATATGTTATGCAACCTGTAAATTCCGTCGTATGTGTGTGACTAGGAATTCAAAATAACAACAATTTCTCGCAAAATGTTCTCGATATCAATCTATACTTTAAGGAAATCGCACGCCCACCAAACTTACAATAAATTCCCTCATTCACGCTATTGTCATTAAAATACTACGTGTTCCTTTTTCATTGGAAATGTCTTTTTGTCTAAGGCCCATCTCAGACAATCGATAATTCAAGACATATCAAACATATAAGATAACATTTTTATATATTTAATTTCTTTTCAATATTTTAAGTTTCTTCTCTTCAGGAATTATAGACCGTCTGAAATTGATTGATTTTCTTTTTTCTTACGATAAAATTGTTTTGTACGATTGCTCGCAAAACTGCTTTAACGTAAGAAAAATCTCGTAAACATCGATTTACAATGTTGCACATTACATTACATTAGATGGATACTAACCGTCTTTTTATTTTAATCTAACAGATACGTGATATATTGAATGGATCGAGTCGGTGAACAATTTCATCTCACAAATAGAAAAAAAGAACAGAAAAGAAAATTAACAGAATATTAAAGTTAAATAAATCTTTTATACATTTATAAATTAATTAAACTAATCCTTTAATTTTTTCATTTTTTTCTATATTTTCTCTTTTCTTTTGTTCTACTTATTTTCTTTACACGTACCCGTGTGTATGTAGAATTTATATAAAAAATAAATCTGGTAGTTAAAAGTTTAAAATACAATTTATAAATTATTCTAGTTACCCGTTATAATTATTCTCTTTTTTCTCCCTTTTTTTTCTTTCTTTGCTTTTCTGCTTTGAAAATTAACTTGTAGAAGTTATTAAGGACTATTCACATATAATATAAAGTTGACAATTATTATGGATGTAATTTTATAATTGCAATAAAAGAAATGTGTCCACGATATCGTTCACGCTCGATCATATTTACGTTAATGATTGTTCTGCATTCTGAAGTATGACTATATATATCGTTTCCTTTGATCTGTAAACCGATGCTATAAAAAGACTAATAAAAGAAAGAAAAAAGAAATATTGAAGAACATTTAACACAATCACACCTTTGTAAGATCAATTGTTTCACAATTGCCATTAATTTTTCTAAAAATATTTTCTGAATTATATAATTTTTATTTTAGAAAAAACTTTTGTTTGTGTGTATACGTATTTGTATGTGTAATACAGTATAAATATAATACAATCAAATAAGATTAAAAAATATATAACGCGTGTAATATTTCTCATTAATTTATTTATTATTAATGTTGCTAAATGCTTCTTTTATATTTAATGTAAAATAAATATTTTGTCAAATGAAAAGTCCTTTCTAAGATAAATCGATCTAATCGATTTAATTTCGATTACTCTATTATTTTCTAAGACTTTTTGTATGCGATATTTTGTACGCGTTCTAAAAAATGAAGTAAATGATAGGCGATAAAATATATCAATGTAAAAAATTCCTCCATTCTTCTTTCTAAATGTTTTTAAAAATTGACTGTTTTAAAAATTAAAAATTAGTGAATATTTAATTCAAATAATCAACTATTCATTATATTTGTCGTAATATACAATATAGAATAAATTATAATTAGTATATAATATACTTGCTATTAACAAAATAACAGAATATCATC